TGCGACTTTGCAAGGTCAGCTCTCCGCAGCGGTGGCCTTGCTTGACCTCGCCGGCGGCGGAGGGGCTTTTGATGCGACTGGCCAAGTCAAGATTACGGCTGATCACGTCGAGGCTGGACTGACCCCTTCTAGTTTTTCCGAAATGTCCCTACACACGGTGGTGTCGCGTGCAGGTAGCCAGCCGCCTAGTGGAAATTCAGCTGCAGATCCGGACCATCTTTCGCTCTGCCATTGACAGTGATTTGACGGATGACCTGCTACCAGAGCAAATAGCCCAGCCGATTCATGGAGACTACCCTGCAGACACTTTCGCGCCGCCAGCCGCTACCCAGCAGGTCCTTGATGTGCACATTCCAGTTGAGGGCCAGGCCGTGGAGGAGTCTCTGGCTGTGTGGGTGGAACGCGCGACAATTTCATCTTGGCAACGGTGGTCTGGGGAACGCGACCCGAAAGAATGGTGAATCAAAGGTTTCCGGTGTAAGGTAGCCGTGTACCGTTTCTGTAAGAAAACAAAAAGCCTAAGCCGGCCCAAGAACTTTGTGCCCTGAGCGTAGGACAACGATGAGGGAGACACTGCCACCACTGATCTGCCCATTCCGGTGGCTCCACAGGATTTGCTCTCTGAAAGCCAGTTGTTTCAGACTGGCTTCGGCACTGGTGGTGACATGCTTCTTGGACAGCCTCAGGATGGTGCGCAGCTCCAAGACCGTCAGCTCATCCGCAAGCTGCTGCTCCACGGCGCCAGTCGCATCAAGCTCAGCAAGCTTGTGAACATTTACCATATCGCGCACACCTCCGGCAGCGGTTCCGGCAAGAAGCGCAAGAAGATCCGACCATCCATAGCCAAGGTGGGGTTGGGTGTTTCAGGTGTTATTGTACCATACCATTTACATTCTCCAATTTTTGGCTAGCCTGTCAGGTGAAGCTGGTCTGTGAAGCGGCCTTCAAACAGTTTCCACGCCTTGGACGTGTGGAAGGTGGCAAGGATGCCGCCGTGTCATTGAAGACTTGGAGCACCAGTCGCCGCAACCAGATCCTGTACCACAACGAGTGCATGCGAGCGTGCAGGGTTTCAATCCGTGAGATTTCGCACCGCCGAGCTTTGTTCCACAATAGTGGTGAAGGCCGTGCTGCAGCGGCCGCCGACCCTGCAGAGCCTCTTGCCGCTTTCTAGTTGTGCTTCTGGGTCTTTCTCTCTGTTGACCCGTCAGTGATTTTAGAAAGAGTGGCCTTCCATGCCGGTAAGTTCCGTGCTTCATGCCCCAAAGAGGTACACACGCGTGGCGCGGTCGAAGTCGCGGCGTCAAGCTTCTACAGATTATCCCAATTCAATATGTAAAGCAATTCAGTGATTTAAAAGCCACGGCAGGCAAGTGCTCTAGTTGCCCTGAAGCCCAGGAAGCGCAGTTTCCAGTTTTCATGCCAGGTGGGTAGGTCACGGTGTTCAGCCGTGATATCTGCATGTACCTTCGTTACACCATGCCTTACCACACATGGACACATGGTTTGTTCCTTCATGGCTGCGGCGCTCTAAACTTCATCGATCTGGTCTGATACTATACACTGAGACAGCATTCTCAAAACACGGCGAGGTTTGGATTGAATTGCAGAAGGCCAGGGTGGCCAGTCCTGATCTCGTGTTCAGATTAGCTTCGCTGGGCGTAGTCGCCTGAACACACTACGCCCCTGCGCTGTAACAAGTTGAAAAGTTTTGCTGAATGTTGGCCGTTCCTGGTCACTGGAAGCCGCATGCCTGCTGCCAGCAATCAAGCAGTAACTGGCTCGTCCGAAGCCGGTCCGGTCGGCGCATCCCTATACCGGGATTGGCGGTCATGCGTCGAGTGACGCGTTGAACGTTTTAACAAAGGAGACTTAACCGCGCAGGACTTATCATTGACATCAACGAATTGATTTGCGCTGAGTCTTTGTCACAGAGGTACCACTTCTTAGCCAAATTGGCGGCACGCCTCCAGAATCTCAAGGTTGTTGTGCATGACGACAGCTGCCATCTGAAGCTGTTCTGCTTGCAGCACCAACATGCATCCGACGTCGCACGTCGATTATCAGAGATGAGTTTCATCATCGATGACTTCCACTCATCAGGACACACTGGGACGTACTGCAAGGAGCATTGCCTGCCATCTTTGGAAGAGAATAGGGCTTTGCTAGGCGCCTTCCCTACAAGTATTGCTGAAAGTGTGAACTCTCAATTTAGCCCGTTGGGCCACAAAGTGCACCACATGAACAAGTTCTTCGCTCAGTTATTCATCCACGAGTGTGCAGATGTTCACAACATTTCAAAGCTCCTGCGCCTGCGGGACAAAAAACGGGCCAACGCAAAGAAGCGCAAAACCGGTCCGGATGTATAGCAGGTGTATCTGATGAGTTTCACAAGATTAGTTTCCGCTGCCCGTGGCCCCGCAAAAGTGTGACCGTTCCACGCTGTGCCTACTGCATGTATCCCCCACAGTCCTGCAGGGCGATTTGTAGCTAGACAGTAACTGCCGCCCAAAACATAAGGCCAGACACGAACCATACCTCGATCCATGGGGCATGGATCCTTTGGATCACATAGTGTGGTTGTTGACGAAAATATGCGGAGATTAAGCGTTTGTGGCCGGGGGCCCTCCGGTCATAAAGTTTCATAAAGCTAGGGCAATGCTTACTGAGAATGTCGCTGCTCTTCCCAACAACTTGTTTGGCCATACAGCCAGGGCAATGCCTCACTGTTGGTTTCTGCTGCTTTCTGGAAAGGGATCTCGCGAGCAATATCAGCCTTCTGGCCATCCAGCCACACCTGGCCATCCAGCCACACCTGGCCATCTGGCCACATCCGGCCACCGGCCACGTCCGGTGGCCCGGCCACATCCACCAATGACATGGCCGCCCGGCCCTCCGGCCACCCGGCCACATCCGGCCACGCCCGGCCACCCGGCCACGCCCGGCCACCCGGCCATATCACCGGCTGCGCAGCCACCCGGCCAACCGGCCGCCCGGCCATCCGGCCGCCGGCCAGGCCAGCCGGCCACCCACAAAAAAAGTCTATCCCCTTCAAATTCTGCGCAATTGGTCGAGGGCGGTCGGAAAAGAAACTTCTTGGGTCTGCCTCAGTTGGGCCCTGGTCCAAGCGTCCTGGAGTGCATGGCGGCCAGGAGTCTATATAGTGTAATGGAATCACGTAGCTAGAGCACATGGAGAACATCCAATTGACGTCACCCGGTCGTCGGGGGAAAGAGATGAGTATACACAAGATCTACTTGGTGGAAGTGGGAAATTGTGGCTAGAAGCGATTCATAGGACCTTCCAAGACAAAGCCACCCACATGAACTGAAGTACCTAGGCAGCCTAGGCAACGCCTATTCCGGCCAGGCACAAGGGACTTGACTTGGCTGGTCGCGGGGGCCATCAACGCAAGGTCAACGGCAAACCAGCCTGACAGACGTCATGGCCCCTGTCAAAATCCACTGCCAGTTCATCGTAGCAGGCAACGTCGCGCAAACATCGTATAACCTTGGGGACGTAGATAGCCATATTGGAGTAGCGCAGGCGGTCATACACCGCCAAACCCGGAGATCGTCCGTACCGAGATCCCAGTCAACATCAAACGCTGTGTCTACCACGCGAGCCAAGGCCGCCACAAGTCAAGCGTTCAACTGCGCATGTACCTAAGCCCATACACATCATCCATTTCCTTCAACGTATGAAGATCACTACGAGCGCACCTGGAAGGGCATAGGTCCGCCGCCTGCGAGGCGCCGCCACTAATGCTCCAGCCCACGGCGAGCCTCACCGAGCAGCACGTGCACCGGGTCGCCCATCATAGCATGGTCCACCCCCAGCTTGGCGAGGTCCAACAAGTCTTGGGCCAGTAGCATCTTGTATCACATAGTGGCCGCCACGGAGTGGGGCCAGTGGAAGTGAGGTGCCCGCACCCGGATGACCTCATCGTCTGTCACACGCACTAGGTGAGAAGCAATTTTGGAGCCCAGCAAATTCACCATCCATCGGCTGGCCTGGTTGGCGGCCAAGCCTTCACGCCAGGATGTAGTCCAGGCTCCACACGCTCTGCAAAAGGCACCACCAGCAGCCAGCGCGCCACCACGAACACAAAACAAAGACACTTGTTGCTCCACCGTCAAGGTAGTCAGGGGATCTTCGCCTCGACGCATACAAGCGCAGGCCTAACACTTACACGTACACGTTCCACCTCGCAAGGGATCCCAACCCAACCGGCCATTCACCTTGGTCGATAAAATAGGATGATATCAAGGGCATCCCTGTCTTGTTCCGGAACGTTGAACTAGGTCGTCAGACTCCGTGTGTCCAAAGGATACGCGAAACTTGGGTCTGTCATATATATATATATATATGCGTGTGTGTGTGTGACAGCCTTTAGCGTACGTCGCGCGGGAAGCCTTAACAATACCTCGAGTAGCTTTTGTTGGTCAACTTTTGTCAAACACCATCCTCCAATCTAGTAACGTGAAAGTGAGATTGGCCTCTTTTCGTTCTGAGATGTCCATGGATTGCTAAGTCGATTCCTGTTGTCTGAAGACGAATTGACTGGCTTGTACCCATTACCCATGGCCCAAAAGTTTGTTTTTAACAAACGAATCATCGCTGCAAAAAATCTGCACAAAACTTAGAGAAAGGCTATGTCGATAGTTTTGCATTTTTGCCACATCACCTTTCCAAAATCCAGACCTGGCTTGTAAATTTGAAGCTTTCTGGATATACGCGCCGCTGTCAAGAATATTGCTTAGGTCAAGGAGCTTGCCTCGATTCTCCTGGTCTAATCATTTGAAGAGATCTGCTAGGAAATGTACGTGTGTCCTACATGGAAAGAAAACTTGTCTGTCTTTGGGTTTCAGCGCCTTCAGGCAAGAAGCCGGGGAAACATCAGGAGTAAGGGCTGCTGGCTGGGTAAGGGACGACAACGTTTAACCTGTTCAAAACGGATCTGTGGACGACACATCCTCATCTCCACCAAGTCTCCCGGCCCCGAGCCCCATCCGGCCCAAGACCAAGGCCTTCGAAGACAAGAGTGCATGTTCGCTTGGACAAGGTCTAGATTCTAGATCACAAGGCATACTGGATAAATGCAGCAGAGGGAGCACACCTGTGGCGGTACGCAACACTTGACAAGTTCGCCTTCTAGTGTGCGGCCGTTGTTGCTCACCGTGATTCTGCGGCGTCTGTCATCTTCTAAGATTTTGCAAAAATCCATCTGCAGTGTCTGGCTAAGGGTAGACTTCCAAATAGGTTCTTTAGAATCTTGATGGCCCCAAACCCACCTTGCAAAAGTCTGCGGGACAGCTGCTGGAAGCTGCACCTGCATTCAAAGGACAACAGCAACATCCAAGAAAGAGGTTCCCCAAAACAAGAGGCGGCAATATTTCTCTGTGGATACAAAATTGCCTCACTTCGGGTGATCCCCACCGTGACACTTCAACATTTTTCGGCATGTATTGAAACATTATTTCGGCATTCTTTCTGGCGCATTCTGCTGCTCGTCAGATGTGACTGACATTCTTGCAAGTCAGCGGCGCGCCACTTGTCAGGTGTCTGGTCCGGTAAAGGCAAAGGAAGAAGAGGGGTATAGGACACACAACAGAAACATGTTCTTTGACTGCGCCAGCTTATCTGGTATTTCTTCTGAGTTCTACTTGCCATATTGTCTGGCATGTTTGCGATTATGTGCGTTAGTGGTTGTGTGTTTGCGTTTGTGGTTGTGCGTTTGTGGTTGCGTGCGCTGTGGTTCTGCGTTGCGGTTGTGTGCTGCGGATGTGTCTTTGTGGTTGTCCGTTGCGGTTGTGCGCTGTGGATGTGTCTTTGCGGGTGTGCGTTGTGGCTGTGCGCCGCGGATGTGCCTGGGTGGTTGCGTGTTTGCGACTGCGTCTTTGTAGCTGTGTTTGCGGTTATGCGTTTGTGGTTGTGTGTTCTGGTCGCGCGCTGTGGTTGTGTGTTGTGGATGCGTCGTTGCGGGTCAAACAAACATGTACACCCCGGCGCCCCGGTCAACAATCTCTTAGAAAACCATTGCACACAAGAGCGCGCTCCGCCAACAGAGCGGTTGGGAACATGTCTGTATATAACTCTCTGGCGGCTACGATCTTAGTGGTTGCGTGTTTGCGGCTGCGTCTTTGTAGCTATGTTTGCAGATGTGTGTTTGCGGTTGCGTGTTGCGGTTGTCCGCCGTGGTTGCGCGCTGCGGTCGTGTCTTTGTGGTTGTGCGTTGCGGTCGTCTGCTGTGGTTGTGCGTTGTGGTTGTGTCTTGTGGATCTGTCTTTGTGGCTGCGCGTTTGTCTTTGTAGTTGCGTTTGCGGTTATGTTTTTGCGGTTGTGTTTGCGTTTGCACGCTGTGGGCGCGCCTTTGTGGTTGCGCGTCGCGATTGCGTGTTGCGGATATGTCCTTGTGGTTGCGTGTTTGTGATTGCGTCTTTGTAGTTGCGTTTGTGGTTGTGTGTTTTGCTTGTTGTCCCAGGTGTCACTGTGATCACCTGTCCTGGTTTTGCCCGGCGCTGATCCCCATCAACCTCAATCCCCCGAGTAATCTTTTGCGACGGCGTTTTGGCTGGGGCCCTTTTGGCCCCGGTCCACCAAATGGTTCCACCCCTCTTCAAATTGACGTGGGATGCATAGCACGCTCAATCCCCCGCCGCCCAGGCCTGAATTCAGTACTGAGGTTAATGGCGCAGACTGGATCTTGGGCGATCCGGGCGCAATTCGGCGGATCTGCGCTGAGCGCAAGCATGGGCGCCGGCACACCAACTTCATGACGGTGATTGCGTCTTTGTAGTTGTGTTTGCGGCTACGCGCTTGTGGTTGCGTGTTGCGGTTGTCCGTCGTGGTCGCGCGCTGCGGTTGTGTCTTTGTGGTTGTGTGTTGTGATTGCGCTGCGGTTGTGCGTTTGTGGTTTATGCTTGTGATTGCGTGTTTGTGATTGTGTGTTTGCGGTCGCGTTTCTGGCTGTGCGTTTGTGATTTTGTGTCTGTGGTTGTGTTTGAGGTTGCGTTGTAGTTGTGTTCGTTGCTGCGCGTTTGCGGTTGTGCGTTTGTAGTTGCGTTTGTTGTTATGCGCTTGTGGTTGTGTGTTGCGGTTGCGCGTTGTGGTTGTGTCCTGTGGATGTATCTTTGCGGTTGCGTGTTGTGGTTGAGATCCGGCGGGGAACACTGCCGTCAGGAGCTGGCGGTCCGCCGGGGAGCAATGCCGTCCTGAGTTGGCGGTTGAGGTCCGGCGGGGAACACTGACGTCGTGAGCTGGCAGTTGAGGTCTGGCGGGGAACACTGCTGTCGGGAGCTGGCGGTTGAGGGGAACACTGCCTTCGGGAGCTGCAGGTTGAGGTCTGGCGGGGAACACTGCCGTCGGGAGCTGGCGGTTGAGGTCCGGCGGTAAACGACACTTGCGGTTGAGAAGGCGAGGAGGAGAAGGAGGAGGAGGAGGAGACGCGAGGCAACTCACATAAATGACACGTGGAGAAAAACTTCATACAACTTCTACCTTCGATGGAGTTGCCTGCGCAAAGGCCGTAGGCAAGGCACATTAACCCTGCCTTAGAGTTTTTTTGAGCGTGCTGCACAAAGCATGATATTTCCCAACTCAGTCCACAAACCATGGCAGGACGGACCCTTTCAGCACTCAGCCATGACTCCAGAGGTGCCATTCTGGTCCTGCCCCAAGCCATTGGCGAGACTTAGCCAAAACACGAAAGAAAACGCGCAGACCTTTTGCAAGTCCGCTGATGAAACCAAAGATGACTTGACAGCCACCCCTCGTCCTCATATTTCGTTGTATCCCTGGAAGTCATGAGAAAGAAAATGCCAAAGGCCGTTGGAGAAAAGGACAAGATTGCGATGACCTAAGGGAGAAGCGCACGCTTTGGGAGTGGATTTTTTCTGCGTTTGTCCCGTTCTGTGTGCACGGCATTCCGCTACACACCCCAAGTGGGTTGCTACGAAACATTCCTTATGCTTTGCGCCAAGTTACATTCTCCAGCGCCGATTTTGACATTCCATCCTGTCCTGGACAGGCAACTCAACAGTTCGACAGTCACGCTGACTCGACCATTGTTTTTGCTCTTTTGAAATCCGCATTGGCTCAGCCTTACCTGCAGCCTTACCTCTCGGGCAATAGCGCGCGCTACATCAATAAGAACTATGTGTGTATATATATAATGATATACATAATATGAAGACTTAGCTGGCTTTGTCTTACCACGCACGCGGTAATGTGTTAAGGTAAAAAATACAAGGTGGAGATAAACGAACTCGCTATCACTAGCAGCATTTTCGTTTTGGAGGCCCAACCCCGCCCAAACACCTGCCAATCCAGAGTGGGCACAGGTACTTCTGAGTCTCTCTCTGGCTGGCGCGTAAAGATTTACAGTTTACAGTCTCCTTCCGCGCGGGCTGCCGCCCAACGCCCATAAATAAAAAGTCTATCCAATGAGCCATGTTTTCCACATCCTCACCGGCTCACCCAGGGAAAGCGCTCCACTGAACACGCGGCGCCTCTGATGGTAAGTTGGCGAATCCCAATGACACCACTGCAGGCTTATCTGGAGCCATCATAAAAAAATGGAGGTTGCACACTGCAAGCACCTCCCCGCACGCAGCAGGCCACAAAAAACCAGCATCAAAAAAAGTCCGAAGGCGTAACGTTGGTGAAAAACCGTCCAAGCATAGCTTCCAAAGCTGCCTACGGGAGAGGAACGCGGATAGGAACTTCATTGACACGCCATGTCTACACAAGTCCCCACGTCACTTGAAGATCGCTCTCGAGGTGGGGCTCTGTGTCCTGCAGGAACGCAACAGTATCGCTGGCAAGGGTCTTCCCTGAAGACGATGCACAATAGTCCGACAGCATATCATCGAACTCTCCCACACGCTTCGGGAGATCAAGGGTTTTTCTCGGAGGTAAGTGTAGATCGCTGCTCAGCATCATGGTAACGTCTACGAGTTTTGGGCTGTACGGTCAAATCATTAAATCTTTCTAGGCGCCTAAGGCTTGTCTTTGCTTTGCTCTTTCCGCTTTGCTCCAATAACCGCTTTACCTTCCCCATTTTCTTCTCAGTTGCCACCGACTAGGTCGGTCAGCTGGGCACTGACTGGCACGCACATATCCCCAACAGGGGTGAAGCCAGCAGCAAGGATGAGCGAATGGACGCAAGTCTCCAAGGTGGAAACTCTCTCTCTCTCTCTCTCTCTGTGGTGGTCTTTCCTCTTGAAGGTCTTGGCTGCAGCCTATTCCGTTGCGCCATCTCAGACTCCTGCCTCACAGTCTGGAGGGGCTCCCTCGGTTGCTTGCGGGGCAATTCTCGATCTCGGTCTATCCTCCCTCTTGTCCTGCGCGGCGTGCGGGAGGTGCCAACGAAATTGGGCGGCGGTGCTGCCCCTCCGGGCTGCTGGGTCGGGCCTGCTTGGCTGGGGCAGAAGCCGGCGGAGCCTGCCGCCCAGCACCCCACAAAAGAGCCCGACGGCCGCTCACCACGAGCCCGAGATACAACGCCCACTTTGCAGACCAGCAAGAGCAGCCTTTGGGAGGACAAGCAGAGCCAAGCAGCGGCACGTGTGCACGTCGCCCATTCAACTTAATAACGCCGAGAATCTGCGGTATATGAACGCAGATTTTGTCTTCAAAACCAAATATATCGTAAGTCAATTGTGCCGTACCCAAGGGGTACAGAAGTAGTACGCGTGCAACAAGAATTCTCGTGTTTGGTGTCGTGTAGACTCCAGAAGCCATCTCCTGCCAAGCGGTCCACAGCTTGCATGGCTTCCAACTCCGACACTGACCAAGTGTGATTGCCCGCCCAACGTTCCGGAAGTACGTCAGAAGCTCTAGAGTGCTGGCTCGGACTATTTACGTGATGGCCCAAAGGCTTCTGTTGGTTGACGCACAGCCAAACTTGGCCAGGTAGATGCCAGGTTCTATTCGAGGTGGCACTTCCTTTCAGGGGCAATATTTCTTGGGAAAGGCCTTGAAGGATTACTAGATTACTAGATGGGAATCCATGGAGAGTGCGTGATCGAGTTGCATCGGGATCATGTTGCAGTCAGAAATATTTGCATGCATGGCCTGTATCTTCTGGGCATGAGCAGCAGTAGCTCTGAGCCTGCAGTTAGGAAACGCAGAATGCAAACATGCGCCTTGCAAACCCTGAAAACGTCTTTACTCTGAGATGATCAACTTTCAGGCGTGAAGGACTTTATGAATCCTCGAGTAGTTTGCAAGTGCATGCTCTCTTCTTTTTCCTCACCAGCCACAACTGCTGCTGCACGCTCTGGATGACTTGTGAGACATCAAGTCTGCGAAGCATTTTGCAGAGAGTTCGACCGGCATATGCCATGTGGAGTCAGATCAAGAGTGAAGTCTTGGGGCTTTGTCAAGAACTTGCCAAGGTCTTCTGGCATGATCAAGAAGTCCAGAAATGTCCAACAAGGTCCTTTCTTACTCTTGAACAGAGTAGGAAGGCAATTGGCAATTGTGATACACCCACCATGTGAAATGAATCTGAACAATGAATTAGATTGGCTTTACCAACAAATGGAACTGTTGACATGTGCTAAATCATGTTGTGACTCTGGTTCGCCAGCACCCTTCAGCTTGTCTCAAACGCAGAAATGCTCACACTTGCTAGAAACATGACAAGTGTCACTTCAGCAAAAGAGCTACCTGCGCACCTTGCAAAGGATGAAAAAGGCAAAGAGCAAGGTCCTAAGCCCATGCGCTGCCAATGCAAGCCCATGTTACCCAGCCTTCTTCTTGGCGTTTGGTGGCGACTTACTTGGAGGGCTTCGTCTCTTGACCTAACATTGACGAAACAGCCCCTGTGTACAAACTACAAACTGGCAGAGATACACGACACCTTATGATAATGTCAAAGAAAGCCAGTGTGACAAGTTTCGCTTTTTCCTTTGGATTTCGGGTGTCTTCCTTGTCTTTTTCGCGGGCTTTCGGGATGTCCTTTAAGTGCAAAGAAGGCCAGAAAATGGATTTCCGTTGTGTCCGAACACTCCAATCCTTTGACATGCAATTAACAAGCACTCAAAACAATTGCAAGGTCGCAAGGCATTTAGTGAGAAGCAGTGATGGGGGTGCTTCATGTCGTAAGGGCTTCATACAGCCTTGACGTGGCTATTTGCGAGGCTCAAGCTATCTCATCACTTTGTAGACGCTCGCTGCTTTCTGCAACTCACACTACAGTAAGCAGTCAGAAGCCGCGAGACACTGCAGGCAGAGCGAGAGAGAGAGGGAAAGAGAGACAGAAAGAGAGCAAGAAAGAAAGAACGAAAGAAAGAAAAAGAAAAGAAAAATAAAGAAAAGAATATATAAAGAAAAAGAAAGAAAAAGAAAAGAAGAAAGGAAGGCAGGAAGAAGTACAAACAATCGCATCTGTTCATTGTCCTTCTCTTTGCCTTCTTTCTCCGAATCTTTGGGCCGGACCTTCATATTTTCACATATGAGTTCATGCGCTGGAGCAAAGATCCTCATGAACATTTATCCAAAAAAAAGCTCAATATACAATATCCTTCAAACAACTGAGCACCCTGAGGGTGGTTGCAAGTCACTGGTCATGCTCTCATTCAGTCCAGCATCTCCATGGCAATGCCCCAATACAATGTCCCGCATCAATCTGCGGTCAAATGCCTTTTCCTTGCCTTTCTCACGCTCGCGATCCCGTTCCTGTTAAGTCCAAACGCTTGCAAAACACAAGAAGCCTCTGGACAGGGACACGTAATTTCTATGTTGACACCGCAATGCTGTACACATTCCATCACCAGACAAAGGTACTTCGAACGTACAAACACTGTAGGCACAAATGTAAGCTAGCTTTACCACCTTTTGTTTCGTCAATCCCCTGCCCTCCTTCCAGGGGCGGGCAAAGCAGGCACCCCAAAACATCTTAGACTGTCCATCAAGCAAAGCTCCTTCTCCTTATCTCGGTCCCCTTCCTTTTCTTTCTCTTTCTTGAGCCGTTCCTTGTCCCTTTCCTGTGCTGCAAGCAATCAAAAGAATCGAAAATCCAACAAACCTATCTCCAAAGTACAATAATTTGTACCACACACAATAGTAGTTGCCTGAAGTGTGTTTGTCAAACCCTGACCGACTTTCTCACAAATGGCTGCCTGTCTCTCTTTATCTTTGTCCTTCTCCCTCTGTTTCTCTTTCTCTTTGGCCTTCCACATCGAGGCATCCATCCAACAAACAAGAAGACCCCACTACAGACACCACTACGCAATACTACTCACTAGAGAAGACCACATTCAACAAATAGCACCTCTTTCATCTTAGCTTCTTCTTGTTTCCTGGGCTGACGAAATGAGTGCAGACTGTGTCCAATCATGGTACCTCCCTGGGATATTGGAAGATGAAGTACTTCGCCCAACTCTGAGGGGTGAACGTACCAAACATGTATGCACATCACTGGTCCACCAAAAATATGATCTTGTCTAGCCCAAACCAAGACTTCGCTCATCTTTGTCTCTTTTCTTTTGGTTTGGGTGGATCAGACCTCTGCTTCCTGCCCTTTGCTCTCTTCAGAAACTAAAACAGCTGCAGGGATAATGTTCACAGATTTGGCTCTTCCCAGATCTGGTTCTGTATAAAGTGTCCTTGTCTAAAAAGATCGGTCGGAATTGTCCTTTTCTATAAAGTTTCTTTTTCCTGCATAAATTGTATCTTTATCTAGAGCTGCATAATGTGCTTCTAATCAAAGTACCTTCTTGCCTGTGGGTGCATTCTTGCAGCTTGATACACACACACAATTTAAAAGCATACCACTACCTCACACCTTTCTTTATTCAAATAACAGTTGGTTACATTTGGGTGCAGGTGTTTTTACTTAAGGTCCGCAAGGCATTCTATTTGAAAGCTGCGCCTTTTTGTGAAAAACAAAGACCCGTCATTTTGTATGGAATTGAAAACATCCTGCAGGTATTAACCTTGAAATGAGATTTGTTGGAGCTACACCGTTTTTGAAAGACATGAATTCCTTTGCAATGGCATTGGAAGTTTGCAGGTGTTTTTCTTAGAAACAATTGGGCTCGAAGCATGTGTGCATTTACTTTTGCTTGCAAATCGGTCTCCGCACCAAAATGGCATTCATCTGCTTGCATTGAGAATGTAGCTTAAGAAAATGTCCCACATGCCTCATAAAGGACACAACAAACAAATGTTTGACAAACATAAAGGCTTTGCTATAAAAGTCTCGCAAACAATGAAAGCTTTACTGAAAAGTATTCATTTACAGGAGTAAACATGTAATCAAAATATGATTTGTGTATAGAAGAGTAGATTCTGAAAAACGTGGGCCAAACAGGCTCGTATTGGGACTTATGGTGAAGCAAGGATGCTTTCTATAATGCAAGACCACGATTGTGTGCCCGGGCTCATGTGGGGGACATTGCGTGTACAAGGGTCCGATTATAATCTAAGGGTGATAGATGCGTCAACTGTGTTCACCCTTCAAGTTTAATGTGTTGCAAGTAGTTGTGTTTTGCTATTGTTTGTTTTTAACTGCAAGTTTACTGCATTGTGGATGTCATTAGGATCTTATATGAAATTATACAGTCAAATCTGGAATGAGGTGAGGGTGACTGTGGACTTTCTGTATACACATTAGCCCGCCAAGACACACACTTCAAAAATCGATGGAACACTCTCAAACACCGAAACAATATTAGAAGTACCTCAGACACACATTCGGAACCATACACATTAATGCAGGACCTTTATGTGCAGCGGCAACAAAACAACCCTGAGCTGGGTCTGCAAAGTGTTGCTCATATTGTTACATCTTCCCCTATCCCCACTGAACTTGACGGAAACAAAGGAAATTAAACTTTTGAGGCTGAAGAGTGGCTGGCAGTGTGAAAGTGCGAGAGTGCCACAAGCATTCAAAAAGGTTTTGTGCCTAAGGTGAGCTAGTCAAAGGAAGCGAGCTCTGAGACAACGTCTTGACCACAGGTTCATGGGGAGTATCCAGGAATTCACTCAAACACTTGCCAAAGAAGGGGAGGCTGGGGAGGCAGTATGAAGACATTGCAAAGTACAGACACAGCACACAGTTTCAAATATTCCATGTTGATCTCGGGCGGGGACCTTCTTGTTCTGCTGCTACTTCTGTTGTTCTCCAGGCTGGCTGGTACGTTTCAGTCTGTTGGACGTTTAATGCGTTTCTTGGGTAGAACCAAAGACATTCGGTGACTAATTCTGTGTGATGCATGAGACGAAAAGGTGTGTCCAGCTCTCTTCATGTCTAGCCAGGCATATGTGAATTTTTGGGTTGCTCCCTTACTAGCTCTAGCCAACTCATGTGAAGGGATTCCGATGCGTGGGCTGTCAAAAGTTCCTTTCCCAAAAGTGTCGATTTTGCTATCCTGATGGGGGCCCGCTTCTAAACCTCCTATATGCTTGAACTACAGCAAAACACATGTATTTACATAAACAAGGTCAAAAGCCTAAGGAATTGCAAAACGCAGCTAGCGCGGAGGCTGGCGCTGAGCTCTACTGGATTTTAGCAATTGCTTGACTCTTGTTGTCAGTGGGGTGGGAAGACTGGACCCAAAGCTTCAGCAAACATGAAGAACTATCTAATTTGTTCCAAGTTGCATCAAAATTATATAGATGAGCTGTGTACCGTTTTCTAGTGCGGCGCTTGCGCGGAGCTAGCACACGGCTAGCGCAAACAATCGCTGGTACTCGAGTGAGTGGGTGAGTGAGTGGGTGGGTGGGTGGGTGAGTGAGGGAGGGAGGGAGGGAAGGTGTGAAGGAAGAGAGGAGGACAAGAAGGAGAAGAGGAGAATCACAATTCTTTGGCAACATACAAATACATCTACCAGCAAGTCGTGGTCATATCAATCAATAGAGAACCTAGCGCCAACCTAGCGCTGCCTTGCAGAATCAACGTAGTGTGCTGGGGGCTCGCTTCTAAACAAATATCCAAAATATATGTTGCCCATGAAAAATGACACTTGATCTATCAAAATGTTGAGCGCCTTCAACCACACATAATACTGAAGGAGGTGGTCAACGAGAATTCACGCACTTTCATGCTGCTCTTCTAGAACAAGCCAAAGGACTAGGGAAGAGGACATAGGCTGGAACAGCTCTTAGGAGGAAAACTTATATAAATGAGCGGCTTCAAAAGCTGCCTATATTTTTTGGTATAATCCTGGTTTGCTTTCGCAGGAGCTTTCGCAGAGCTGTCGCGACCTGCGTTTTGGCTTTCGCGAAAGGTGTGGTGTTCTGTGAGGCTTTCACGGTGTCTTTCAAGACGACTCGTTTTCGATTGGGATTACAGTTGAGTTTCCCGAGAGCTTTCTCAACACTGGTTCTTATAGGGAGCTTTCGCGGGGCTTTCGCGAGGCTTTCGCGGGGCTTTCGCGAACCATTTAAGACCTGTGCTTTGACACTTTTCATCATATTATGTTGTTTGAAGTTGCTCAAATAGAGCCCAAACAGTTGATTCTCAGACATGGAAAAAGCTTTGACGTCTGCACTCGTGAGCCCACCGGCTTGAATCAGTGCAGCTTAAAGTCTTGTTTAAATTAAGAACCCTACAGGATGCAGTGAAGGTGGAATAGTGAAAGTGTATGGTCATGTTTGTACAGAGTCATGCGTTGTTGATGATGAAGGGAACAAACTGAAAGAGCTGGTAAATGCTACATGAAGGTATAGCAAGTGGCAATGTCAAGGCTCCACCTACAGTGCATGTGGTCATCCAATGTCGTCCAGGCAAAGGACTTAATAGCCCATAGCAACTTCAGGGTCTTGATGCAGGCAAGCGGCTTCTTTTCCTTCTCCTTAGCAAAGACTGGATCTTCGAAGCGTCAGTATTTTAAACAGTCCAAAGGATCTTCCTCAGGAAATGCTGAACCTTGAAGCACACGAACCGACAAATCAGTGCTCACAAACTGAGAGCGATAGCTGCAGGCCTTTCTGTACTCGATTGGATAAAGGTGAAAGTAAAGAGTTGGTAAAGAATGTTCACTCTACTCTACTTGTTCACTTTGATGCAAGAGTCTCTCTCCTTCTCCTTCTCCTTCTCCTTCTCCCTCTCCTTCTCCTTTGCAGGATCCTTGTCTATTTTGTCCTTGTCCTTGTCCTTTTCCTTGGTGACATCCTTTTCCTTTTGTGTTCGCTCCTTCTCTCTTTGCACGTCCTTATCTTTCTGAGATTTCTCTTTCAAGTCCTTGTCTAGTGACCTGTCCTTTTTCTCTTTCTCTTTCACATCTGTATCAGAGATTGGATGAAGGATGTCCTTTTTGCCATCATCTTGTTTGCCTTCATGCTCCTGCAAAAATCAAGCAACCATTGTCATAAAGCACAATTCAATGCGTAGAAAGGATGTTACCTTGGCTCTTGTTCGCAGCCGAGTTGAGTACTCCATACATGAAAAACAAATATCAAACGTCAAATCTTCTCATTCACAGCCGAGAACAAAGCATTTGGAGCCCGCGTATCCTCGATCATCTCTTTCTTCTTCTTCTTGCAGGCATCCTGCAAGTCATCGCACAAGAAACCGTATGATACACGTCTCAAACAGATGAATGTGAACAGGCTAAAGGTTCAAGGCTTGCCTTAAGTTTTCTTCTCAAAGCAGGTGCAATCAAGACATGGGTTGAAACCAAACAAAAGGGGTCAATGTTCTGCCAGTGAATAAGGGGTCCTGGATGGCATCTCGATGCAATCCTTTCAATTCTAAGCTTGCCCGAAGCTCCATTACCTCGCACTCAACAGAGCTGTGCAAATGCTTCGAATACCACTTTTGTTTGACATGTGTGGTTGCCACAACTTGGATTGCCAATGTGGTAATCAAAAAATAACTTTAGCAAACGGCAAACACAAATTACTTGCATAATGCCTCAGTTCGCAGACTTCATGTCTCCACGGCCTCCAGCTCTATGTCTCGTAGTAGGCTTTGGGGGCTTCTTTCCGAGACTTCAGCTCCGCTCTTTCCCTGTCAAGGCAAGGAACACTTATGTCCTCTCAGTGGACGGCGGTGACGGAAGTCTTTCAAAATGTGTGTGTGTGTGTCGCCACCCAAACACAGCGCCAGAACACCAATTCTTTTTGCACGCGTTGCTTCTCTGATGAAAACCTTCCAACGCCTGGACTTCAAGCATAACTTCAAAAAGCTATGGACAGCCAATCAGCAACAAAGCCAGGACAGGGCAGTACGTTGAACAAAGCTTTTAAATGTGTGTGTGTATATATATATAAACCTTTGTACAGGTTTTGCCGCCCACCGGAAGTCAGCCGAGCTCAACATATTGCCACCGAAAAGTCTGTAAACAGGAAGAACTGACAATGGGAAACGTCAGACTCCACCTTTTCTTTGATTTGCTCTGGTGTTCTGACCAGCTTCTCTCAAATCTTCCTGGCATTCGCTTTAGTAGCTGGAATGAATACACAGGGATCGTTTTGATCCAGGAGCTCTGCTCATCCCAGGGCCGTTTCAGCCTTAGGTCATGAAGCCCGCCCCATGGACACCGAAGATAGAAAGCGAATGCATTGGGGCTCAAAATGTGGCTCAGACTTGGCGTTTGTCCGCAGCACCATGCCGTCACCAGGTTTGTTCGTGTTGGCTATGGAATCAACAGTGGCACGACAAAACAAAGCCGGAGACCTACAATAAAAAATCGAGAGCGGAGGGTGAGGGGGGGGATGTGAAAGTTGTGATTTTTAGTTTAATATTCTTGTTCATCAACTTCTTCAAAAACATCCCATAAACTAAATTACATTTCTTGTTGAAAAATATGTTTCCGTCATATACTTCAACAATGTAAAGTGTATAATTACTCGGTGTTTCAATATGTTCACCCTCATAAGGCATCCAAATATCAAACTCTGAAAAAAACGGTATAAATTTTATGTGTATAAAGGCATCAGTAAAGGCCTTGTTCAAATCTGCTTCCATCAAATTTTTCTCTTTCACATCCTGATTAAAATACCCCAGTGGTATTATGGTTCTCATCTCATCCAGTATCTGAACATCCAACTCTGAATATTTAGACTTGTGTGTTTCCTTGAAAAGTGCCTTGTTGAATTTGAACATCTCTTCAGTCATTCTGTTGAACTCATCTGATGTATGACTTACACTGTTGTAAGTAATTGTTTTCTTCAACTTCTTGTATCTAAATTTTACTTTGATATTTGTAATACATCTGGCATCATATTTCACATAAGGCTCATATTTTGCTGACTTGAGTTGATACAATACCTTGGGCAAATCATTATAAACCTCTATTAAGTTATATTATTCCTCTTCTGTCATTTGTATTAGTTCATCTATATGTTCAAATGATTGATATTTAACCGGTTCTTCTTTATCACTGATGTAAAAATGTTGACTGGCATTTAATTCAAATGTGTCAGGTGAAGTAATATGAGACAAACTGTCCAGTTTATAATTCATTGTGTAGATATGGTTGTTCTTCACCAAGCCCATAAATGTCCTTACTCTATGTGTGCTTCTTCTCTCTGGGTCATATCTGTAAATGAGTTCTGTATTGAAATTGTATAATCTGACTGGGATGTTAAAATGTTCAAATACAACTTCCATTTGATTAATAGATGTCCCTTTTTCTACAAACTCTTCATCACTCATATTCAATAGCTCCAGCACTTTTTCTCTTGTCAAGGTTTTAGCATGTTTTCTTCTACCATCCTTCATTAGTTCAGTTCCCTCATATGTATCTACAAGTGAGTTTATCCAACACTCATCCTTTTTATATTTGATGTTCTCTATGGCATCCTTGACTGTTTGATATTCTCCATCTATGACTGTTTCAATGTATTTATGAAAGATTGCCTGATTGCGCAATCCGTCCCTCAATCTCTCCTCTCTGATGTTCATATCACTTGCTCCAGTATCACTTACATCAACTATTTTTTCAATCCTAATGGCATCAGTATAATCAGCAATTGCTCCATTCATCATATCTTTAAAATTGCGGTCTGTGTTCATAATCATCAATATTTTCTTGAATAAATGTTTATCAAACTCTTTTGCAATCTTTCTCCCAACCAGTCCTTCCAAATTTTATTACCTCTAACATTTCCTGTGCTTACAGCTGGTGTGGTGAAAGCATAGTCTCGAAAAATAAATAAATAAAAAAACTGCAGACCGCATGTCCACAGAGTCAGACAAGAGCCCCAATGGGGTCCGCAGTTTTGTTTTTTTGTTGTTTTTTGTTTTTCGAGGTTTTTGCATGGTTTGCTCCAGATGGCCAGAACCTCG